CACGCACGCGCACCGCCACCGCGCACCGCCACCACCGCACTACCCCACCCACCAGCCACCACGCTACACCGCGCCACACCACATCACACGCGCGCACACACAGACACACACGCACGCACGCACACACACACATACACACGCACACACACACACACACACACACACACACACACACACACGCACACACAGACACACGCACACACCACCACCGCCACCACCACCACCGCCATCACGCACGTACGCACCTGGCCCACCACCAAACCACCAAGACGCCACACCATGTCACACCACAGCACACGCGCACACACGCACACACACATACACACCACCACCACAACAACCACAACCACGCACACACGCACGCACGCACGCGCACCACCACCCACTACGCACACGCGCGCGGAGCCACAGGTCCGCTACGACACGCGTCCGCGGATAGAGAAAATCAGCGCCATGGTAAGGGATGGGAGGGAGGGGTAGGATGTCAGATGCTGACGCGAGCGCACCTAACTTGACCCCCTCCCCCTCCCCCTCCCCCTCCCCCTTCTTATTTTCAGGTGGTTTCTCCTCTTCCTCCTCCTCCTCCTCCTTCTCCGCTCCCTCCTCCTCCTACTTCGCCTTCCTCCTGCTTCCTCCCCCCTTGGGGTATGACGACTTTCCTTGCCCGCTATTCCACTGCCTGCTCCTCCACATCCCTGATCGAGGCGACTCGCCTGGGCATCGTTTCTGGATGGGCTGGTGGGGTTACGCGAAACGTTTACGTATAATACAGAATGGTGAGAGTAACAGCACCGTGCGCTACATCTGCTTGGTTCACTCCTGAACTGCGCGCTGGCGCGCTTCCCTGGCAGGGGCAACTCTCACGAGCTTGCTGCGGGGGGTAACCGACTGCGGAAAGATACAAGTCTCGTCATGGTCCGCGTACACTTCCGCCACGCTGGACCTCCCAGGAGCCAACGCGAGTGGCCACAATTGCGAAAATTACAGCCCCCAAGGAAACCACGACATCTCGTCTAGGTCCGCGTGTCCCCCCGCTACGCTGGACCTCCCAGGAGCCCAGGGAGCCGCGAGGTCTCGCCTGGCTCCGCATGCAGCTCTGCGGCGCTGGACCTCCCGGGAGCCACACGAACGGCCAACGATGCGCAACTGGCAGGCCCAGAGGAAGCCGCGAGGTCTCGTCGGGGTCCGTGCACAACTCCGCGGCGCTGCCCCCCCCCCCACAGAAACCAACAACATTAGAGACAACGGCGCACTTGGCAAGCCACGAAATCTCGTCTGGGTCCGTGTACACACCCGCTACGCGCTGGACATCCCAGGAGCCCGCGAACGTGGCGACGGTTGCTAGATGCCAGCCCCCCCCTCCTCCCAGGAGTCGCGAGGTCAAGTCTGGATATGCGCAGGACTGACTGACATCCACAGGACCTCCCAGGAGCCCACCAAAATGCCGAGGATTGCGTCAGCGGCAGCCACCTCCCTCCCAGGGAGCCGCAAGGTCTAGTTTGCATGTGCGAGGGGCGCCGCACCGCTGGACCTCCCAGGAGCACGCGACGATAGCGACAGTTGCGCAGGTGGCGCCCCCCCAGGGAGCCGCGTTGTATGCGGCAAGTACGAGGTAGAAAGCATGCCGGCAGGAAGCACAATGCAAGATGAGGAACGGGGGAGGAGGAGACGCACGAGCAGCGCTCTTTTAAAAACTAGTAGCCGACGCAGGAAGGCTGGGAAGAGTAAGAAGAGCCGATGCCATACTAGTTTTTTGACTCTTCGCGGCTGCCATCCGTGGCAACATTGGGTCGGCCAATGTAGAATGCCAATGCGTGGGCAGGGCCCTGGAACAAATTGTCTGGGGCGCGGAGGGGGGCGGGGGGAGGGGGGCACGAGAGAACACACATAGCAGCATCATCACATGATAGTCAGCTCTGGTCGTCCACAGAGTGAGGGGTAGATAAAATATGAGATTGGGCTCCACCTTCCCTTCCACCATTTCCCGGAATAGCGAAAGCGCAATATGCCACTGCTCACACGCGCTGACCACAACACTGTAGCTGATGACGTCTGGCTCCAACTCGATCTCCCACAACTCCCTGAACAATGTCAATGCCAACTGCCATTGGCCTGCTTTTCCGCAAGCACTGAGTGCAGCATTGTAGCTGATAAGGCTGACCTCCAGCTTCACAATGCACAGCTCGCTGAGCCAAAGCAACGCTTGCTGCCACAGGCATCCTTTTTCGCAAGCGCTGAGTCCAGAAGTGTAGCTGATTGCATCCAGCTCGACATTTCCTTCTCTCAACACGTGGAACAACGACAACGCATGACTCCACTGCCCACCTTTTTTGCAAGCGCCGATTGCAGTACTGTAGCTGACAACATCGGCATCCAATCCTGCTTCCCGCGCGTGACTGAGTAGCGACCATGCGTGCTGCCAACCTCCACCTTTTTCGCACGCGCCGACTCCAGCGTTGTAGCTCACAATATTTGGCTCTAACCTCGCCGCCCACACGCCTCCCAGCAAAGACATCGCCTGTTGCCACTGCTTGCCTCTTGCGCATGCAACGATCGCGTCGTGAAGAATGACGTAATCTGTGACGCGTGACCGTGACGAATAACGAAATACGTCCAACGCTGTGATCCACTGTCTTTGGCTTCCGTAGTTTCTGATCACTGCCGCGAGCGAGGCGACATCTGGGTGAGGCCTTCGGTGCCTCGCCTGCCCCATACCCTGCACCATCACATCGATTCGACAGCGCAGTCAGCACGGGGCGCACTACCTCTACCATTGGCGGCTGGCAAAGTAGCGAATCGATGCAGGTCTTGAGCTCCAGGGCGCTAGACTTGACAACTGTAAAAGAGACTAACGCCATGCCACCGCGGGCATGTCGGCTACACGCCAGAGTGACCCTGGGCAAGTGTGACCATTGGTGCGCGGCTTGCGAATCGCTGCGTGGGATGCGACAGTGGCCACCTGCGTGCTTGGGCTTGGCCTCCCGCGCCCCTCCCCCCCCCGAAAACCACGCACCGAAGGTCACTCCAGCGAAGGGTCACGCTCACGTGCAAGCCAACATGACGTAGGAGAAATAATCGGGATCAGGCGCCGGCCACGAGCTCGAGAGGGAGCTCGCGCTTCCGTCGCCAAGTTCGCCCAGAAGAGTTAACATACCTGGATCGATGGGGCAGCAGTCTGGATCTGAGGCTCCGAATGCCGAAATCCTTTGCAACATAATACTTGGGAAAACGGTGGCTTCTCGAGGCCATCGTGCCATCCACCGGCATGGAACTGCACAACGTCATGTCGAAATCAAGTGCCGATGAGGGTCAACAGGAGACAACTTAGCTGTGTAGAATATCAACGGACGGGTCCGCACCAGCGTCTCGCTTGCATGCCACACGTAGCTTGTTGCCAGTACGTGGTCAACATTGATATTTGCAGCTTGGGTAAACCTGTGTTCGCTAATTCTCGCTCACTGAGGCTTTCAACAGCCCGCTCAAGATCAACGCGATTGTTTTGACGATAGAATTTGCACGCAAGCATCGCGACAGTCCGTTCAGCTCTATGTGCGCAGCCAAGCCTGGCCATACCAAACCGCTAGCGACTGGGATTTAATTAGTTCCACGTCGCTTGAACTCAGTGCGTCATTTACCCTGCACACAGGACATACGACACACACACACACACACACACGCTTGTCAAAACATCTGGCGTCTTACTACCCTGCTCGCGCGAACCGCACGTCTACCATATGACGCACAGTACCAGTGCTAGGTGTTCTGCGCTTTGAGACTGCAATGTCTCCATGCTTTGGCACCGATTGAGAAAAAGCGGCTTGACGTACAAATCAAGTAACCATGATACACCATATCACGTTGCAAAATGAAGATACGTTCTTTACACATTGCTCTTAGCGCCTGGAACAAATCCCCACCACCGTTGCCTAAGAGACCAGGAAGTCAGCACCTGGATGAGTTCTACGTGCAGTTGTGTACATGATGTCACGTTGACCCTGACGTCTGGTAGGCGTCGCAGGCGAGGCGGGGATACTGTTCTCAGCATGTGCCCACGACGTGAAGATGATTGCATTGCTTCGATGTGCCCCCCTTAGCTAATACGTGCGTGCTGGGCTGTCTGGAACGTCCCCCTCTTTTTCTCCCAAGAGTGCATGGGTGCACGAGGAGCGCCAGAGGAACAACCATGGAAGGACCTACGGAGCAACGAGCCTCTTCCAAGCTCGAGCTGTTCCTTACCTCAGCGTCTTGACTGCACAGTGGGCGTCGTGTATGAAAGAATGAATGTTGTGCGCGAGTGCTAGACGGAACACTACCAACTAATAATGCTAGGGTAGTTGGAGTGCGTGCGACTACAGCACGTATAGATAACCTAAAAGCATCGCGTGCAGACAATGAGAATCTTCAGCGTACCTCTTCGCACCACCGCTGCTCTGCAGCCTCCAGCCTCATTCCATGGACACCCGTTGATCTGTTGTTGCGCTGGCCTGGCACATGGAAAACCAAGGGGAGATCAGGAGGAGGAAATGACAAAGAACACTTTCTGGTCGGCGGGTCGAGAGCGGGCCTCTTCCGGTTAAGAGCTAGGCGGGGCGCGCGAAGCACTAATTTTGGAGACAGGGCGCGGGCGGGCGGGGCCTCAGGCGGCCGGAAGGTGCGGAGTACAGGCGTACCGATGACAGAGAGCACAAGGCCAGCTAAAGACAACACGTGGACAACGCTGTTGATCTCTCGTGGGGACTCCGATGCTACTTCCGCTGGGACCCCTTCGCTTCCGCGGGCGCAGCCGCCAGCAATTCTATCCGCCTGCTTCTGCGGGCCTGTTGCCAGGTACCGGCGAGGGCGAGACGTCAACTCTCTCTCTCTCTCTCTCTCTCTCTCTTCGATTCGCCGACGTCGGCGATCGGCGAAGCCCCATCCAGAGTCGGTCAAGTGAAGCCATATTCAAGTCGTCTTTGGGTCGGGAGCTATGCGTGCTGTGACCTCCGGAGAGGAGGCTGCTCCTTCGAGAGGATGTTCTGCTCCTGCGTCTGCATGGACTTGTTGCTGAAGTTGGCTCTGTTCAAATCGCTGGCGAGCAAGCCCATCTCTTGCCGGAACTTCTTGGTGGAAGACTGCGGACAGTGTAACAGCAAACAAGGCTTATAGTTGGACAAATGCGTCTGGGCGGCTATGGTTGCTATACTCGCGCCAGGCGCCAGCTGAGCTTAACTCATAATTGTGTGAGCAGATGCTTCAGGAAATCAATCGATGGAAACAAGCAGGTGACATGACATAACACATCGGAGAGAGTGTGACTAAGAAACACTCTGGGTGTCAAGCGCCAAGAGGCCTGTTACGTCAATGCCCTTGCCCTTGCTTCACAATGCTCAGTTCTTCTTCACGTTGCCCTCCTCCTCCTCCTCCTCCTCCTGCTCCTCCTGGCCATCCGACCCATTAGTTATTCTAATCTCCCTGGCTCCCTTGCAACCTGCTTCCTCCTCCTCCGCCCATTGTTCCCGTCCTAGGCCTCCTCGGCCCCAGCATCCTCGGCCTCGTCCGCCTCTTCTCTCTCTCTCGTGTTCGTTATGCGCCTCCTCTGGCTCCGCCTCGTGCTCCGCCCCCGCCCTAGCCTGTGCCTTCTCCTGCTCATCCGCCGCCGCATCCAGAGGCAATGCAGATCATAGAAAGTGAACAAGCGGCACGACAGTAAAACTTTCGACGGCCCGCGCGAATTCCTTAGATCTGCGCTGGGCCCCCCTCTCTGGCGCGCGCAGCGGCGCCAGAGGCGCCGCCAGGGGGGCCTCAGCGCCGAGACAAGAAGACCGCGCGGACCGTCGACAGTTCATGATTATGCAGTCTTTCCTTCTTGGCGGCGCGCACAAGGGGGTATTGGGGAAGGGGCGAGAGAACGCGAACCCCCCCTGCAGACATCCCACGAAAACGAGTCCGTCGAAATCCAGGGCGGGCTCGCCAAAAGCGTCGGCAAACCCGAAGTCCGGCGCACTCGGACCTTCTATGCTTCCCCGAGAGCAGCACGCCGACGGTCCGGGAGCGCCTGCACCCTGCGGAAGCCCGTCTGCAGGTGGGCCCTGGCCTCCCGCCGGGCCTCGCGGTCCCGCGCGCCGTAGCTCCTGACGGCGAGGCGCCTCCCGGCCGGGAGGCGCGCGCCACGAGGAGGGCACGGGCAGGAGGTCGGCTCGCCTGCCCGTCGCGGCGGCCTCGAGGGCGATGCGGTCGGCTGAGAAGCCAACGTTTGGCGGCGCGCACAGAGGGGCAGTGGGAGGGGGGGGGGCTTCTGAGGAGGCTGCTTCTTGGAAGGCGCGGGCCCTACATCTACAGACAAGGCCCGTGCCCTCTAGGGAGCAGGGGTGCTCCTAGGAAGCCTTCCCCCCCCTCCCCCTGCACCCCTCTGCGCGGGGCTGAGGTCGGCTGAGAAGCGAAAGTGGGAATCTGGGCACCGCAAGGAAGCACAGCCAGAGCTGAGTGGATTTCTCTGGAGGGCCCGGAGGGTCCCATAGGGGCCCTTGGGGAGGACCCCCCTACCTGGACATGAACGCTGTAGTTGTTGTTGTGGACGCCCAATGTGGTCGTCCTGGACGCCCACATGGAGCACAGCCAGTACTAAGCTAGTTTCGGTGTTCTGACAATTGCTGGCATGCGCCAGACATCCCCGAAGGCCCTAAGGCGTGTCCTCGATGCGACTCTGGTCGCTTGCTGTCCCCGCAAGGGAGACCAGCGCATCGAGGCAACGCTCTGGTCAAGGGGTCGAGACCCGGGCCCATGCCCAGCCCGAACTTGGCAGCATGCGCCGCGCGGGCACCAGGTGCCGGTGGGGATCCGGCACGTCGGCGATGGGCGAGGCGGAGGCGGAGAAAGAGGAGTTCCAGGCTGCTCTTTCCTCCTGGTGCTGGCCACGCTCCCACTGAAAGGAGTCTATAGGCCCCGGCCGGCAGATCCCTCGCCCCTGGGAGTGGCCGCCGTCTTAGACGGCTGGCCACCCATGGGGGGGCCACCCTCCCTTAAAGGACGGCGGAGGTGTCTGCCGGCTCCCGATAACTGTGCTGCGGGCGGCGCGGGAACACGCGTCCGCCGCTGGAGCAGGAGGAGGAGGAGGAGGAGGAGGAGGAGGAGGAGGAGAATGAGGAGGAGGAGGAGGAGGAGGAGGAGGAGGAGGAGGAGGAGGAGGAGGAGGGGGAGGAGAAGGAGGGGGAGGAGGAGGAGAAGGAGGAGGAGGAGGAGGAGGAGGAGGAGGAGGAGGAGGAGGAGGAGGGACACTGGCTCAGGCCGTTTGCGAGAACTCTATCCCCCGCACTTGCCGCTGTCGCCGCGCCCCGCCCGAGCGGCCGCCCTCGGGGGCCCGGCCTCAGCGCACCGCCGCGCCATTGGAGGCGGGCGGCGTTCGTACCAAGAGAAACGGATCAACCGCGACTACAACATCGTCCACCAACGGGTAAACATCCGGGAGATGGTGATTCACCGAAACTACAACATCAAACACCTGTTGTTGATTTACAAGGCGGACATCTTCAACATTAGCTAAGGGCTACGAGACCTGCCCACCTTAGTGGAGACCTACTGGCAAGTATGCCGAGACCATACACGCATAGAGGAGCACGGGCGCGAACAGACGCGGCCCAATAACTAGCGGGGTACAACGTCTGACATGGGATACACCCTCGATCCGACGATATCACTATCATTTTGCCACGGCTGCCCTCGCGAGAGCGTCCAGGTACTGCAGCAAGTACGACACAAAGCCAAGTACGACCCCGAGTACCGCAAGTATGTGGTCATAGAGGTGCGCTCCGTTGTCGCAGACGAGCCCCTGGACGACACAACCAATCAGAACTACGAGGGCCACCTGTGCCACGCGGGACCCTGGGATTACGGCCACGTAGGCTACAATGGCTACCTGGACGAAGGCTACGACGGTCACAGCTTCCACGACTGCAGTGGCATTCGGAAAGTGGAACACTATGACTTGTCAGCCGACGACTCAATGCTGCCTGATCTGGCGACGGAGCGCGCCGATTCGGTACGGAAGCGAGATCGATTGCCGACCCGCGCGCCTCAATCAGTGCTGGCGCTTTCTCGAAAGGAACATTCCTTGCACGCCTGCGGTGGGCGAAATCGGAGGAGGACTCCGGAAGAAGAAGCAACGGCACTCGCAAATTCTTCCGGAGGTGCGCGTAGACTTCTCTGATCGGCGCTGGGACCCCCTTGACGAACGAACAACACACACCCATACCCGTAAGGGGGTCGTTGGGAGGAGGACTGGCTATGGGTATGGGTGCGGGTTGTCGGACCCTGGGGAACGCTCCCGTTCGAGCGGGGACCCCCATCCGACAACACGAACCCATGGCCCAATAGCCCTCTCCGACCCCCTATAGCTATGGGTGTGTTTTGTTGGTTCGTCACCCCTGGCGGCGCCTCCAGCGCCGCCCCTGGCGCGCGGGGGCCAGCACTGATCCGCGAAGTCCACGCGGACCTCTGACAATCTAAGTTTATGCTGCATTTTCCCACGCTTCGGTTCATGGCGATCTGGTTTCTGCTGCCCTGGTGGCAGAGCAAGCGTGACTGGGCCGTGAAGCCGATGACGGCAGATACCTCGCGCACTCGGCCCGCCAGCCCGCTATGCCACGGCTGGTGTGTGTGTGTGAACTTGTGTGCGCTGTGTGCTCGCCCAGCGCAACCCCCGCCATGCCTTCTGCACGCGACTCGCCCTGCGTGTGCGCCAGCAATGTATTATCATATCCAGTATCGTGAGGAATTTCCGCTGACAACTCCTCAAGTGACAGGGCTGGCTGCCTCTTGTCTCTGGATGTGTAGAAACACCCGATTTCTTCAAACCAAGCGCTAGCCAATACGCGGCCAAGCCCCACTGCCCACACATCCCAAGCGAAGGTCCCAGCAGCACGACGACGGGTACAGATCCCAGCGAAAGGCAAGACTGGACATTGATATGATGAAGCCTGAACGCCAAACGGGAATGTGAGTTCTCACCGGCGACAGAGCCCAGACAGCCAGCAGTGGATACGGGTAAAAACTGAAACATTCGACGGCCCCTCCGAGAATATCAACATCCACTACTGAAAAAATCTGCAAAGCGACGGAGATGTCCGAGACCCTGGCCCGGCAACGCCGCGTCGGAACAGAAGAACTCGCGGAATCGTTGGAATCGATATCCCAACGTGGGGACAGCAGAGCACCGCGACCCCAGAGGGGTACGACACGACGAAGCTTTAGATTTCAAAAACAACGGATTGGCTTACTCCAATGATAGCAGCACAGGTTGAATGTGTTTGGCGGGGCCGCCCAGCCATTTTTTTTGCCACCCAGACAACTTTGATCAGCAGCGGTAGTTGTCACATACGAGCAGTGGAGCGTGGTCCACCCATTTGCAGCGATGCCATCGGCAAGGTGTGTGTATGTGCATTCAGCTCCCGATCTGCACTTCGCAGCGGTCGGCCATGCCCGTTGCTCTGGGTAACACTACGGTCGAGAACTGTTGCTTAGCGTGTCGCAGCGGCGGCCCTGGCGACACGCAACGCCCTGCGAACGGATGGTGTGTCGCTCCGCTACGCGGGGCGCGAGGCTGGGAAGAGCTCGGGACGTTGACGCTTGGGGCGTGGTTGGAGTATCGCGCCGAAGAGCGGTTGGCCACAACCGGCGGTGCGACACGCTAAGCAAACGTTCCTGACCGTACTTGGTTTACGCCGCGACCCGTCTTAATCGACCTTGCCCTGCCGGTTGCAGCCCATCGGCGCGCGGGAGAAACAAGTGCGTATGCGTGTGCGCGTGTGCAAGCAGACGCTCCGCTGCTGTCGCCAGCCTTGTTGTTGCTCCCGTGCTTGTTCTCATCCTCCTCTCTGTATCTCTCTCTCCCACTCTCCCTCTCTCTCTCCCTCTCTTTATCTCTCCCTCTCTCTCTTTATCTCTCTCCCTCTCTCTCTCTCTCTCTCCCTTTCTCTTTATCTCTCTCCCTCTCTTTACCTCTCTCTATCCCTCTGTCTCTCTCTCTCTCTCTCTCTCTTCCTCTGGGGCTTGTCGTGTTCCGTCGGGCCCAGGCGGCTTCCCCCCGGCGCGCCGCCGCCACGCGCCCGCACCCGCCGACTTTCAAACTTCGGTCTGGCCCCTGCGCCCCTGCGCCCAGCGTGCCCCTCCTTCCATCGACGCCACCGCGCTGGTCCCGCCTCCGCGCGCAGCTGTGTCTAACGCTCGGCCGCGCCGCTGCCGCTCCCCCTATCCCGCCTCGCTACGAGTCTTCGCCACCCGTCCTTTCGAAACAACTCCTTGGAGGCCTTCGCAAGAACGGCTGAAGGCTACCAAGCCAGATTGAGGGACCACTTAGCCAGGCCGGGTTAAACACAAGATCAAGCCAGGATCAACGGGACTCTGCCGAATTAGGCCGGTTATCCACCACGGATATACCAGCGCCGATGCTGAATTAACCTCCCAGGAATTGCATCCTAACGGTCCTAGCCGGATTGACAGACGCACCGATTTGGCCCATTTTGGAAGCGCATGTGCCCGTCCAGTCGGCCCCCACCGCTGGAATAGAGCGACTTGTGCGCGCCGCCGCGGAGCCGAGCTTCGCGGCCTGCTCGGTTCTGTTGACGTGGCCCGCTTCTGATGCACCTGCGGTTGCCTTGCCACTTCTGGCGTCGGAGGAAAGAGTGTGTGTGTGTGTGTGTTTCCATGTGCTTGCCTTGCGCAGTCACCACCCGTTTTCCTGCACTGGGCTCGCCTTGCATAGTCCACCCGTCTGCAACTTCAGGTGGATTTATCGCTAGGCGCGCCCCGCCTTAGCTCTCGCTGCAGCGACGTTACTCGGCCGCTGGATGAAAAAGTGTGCGTGTGTGGGGGTGTCAGAATGCTCCCGCAAAGGTGCTCGATGCCGCTGGCTTGACCTCACCAGCGCATCGCAGGAAACAGTGTGTCGTGCTCCTCGTCTGTTTCTCTGTGATGTCCTGGGCGCACCTCAACGATCCGAGCACAGAATGCTCCGATCTCCAGCTCCGAGTCATTACGCCTGGCCGTCCGCAAGACAGGTCACGCAAAAGTGCAAGGGGCCGTGTCCCGACGAGCCTCCCCTCCCCTCCCCTCGCTCAACAACCCATACCCACATCGCGCTTGCAGCTTTGCGCAGCAACTCAAGGCGATACAACGAGTGGTAGTCGTAACTTGAAGGCAGAAGGGCCTACGTAAGCTCATTCCCTCCACCCCTTTCCCATACTTCTTGTTATTGTTATAATTCGTATACTTATTATTATCATTATTATTATAATGGCAAGTCTTCGCGCAACTCCCCGTAAGGCAATACACATGATGAGAACAAACTCGGATGAGGGCAAAACAGACATATCTGAGATGTATCGGCGGCTTCCCGAGAGCGCCCTGGAGCGCCGGGAGAGCGCTCCAACGCACTCTGAGGCGAATGACCCTCATCCGAGGCCTCCCTGACCCTGCCCCCTCCTCTCCCTCCCCCCCCTCCCCCGCCGTCCCCTCCCCTCCTCCGAGAGCTCTTCGTGTAAGTCTCGACGAAGCCCTGCAGGTCGTCGGCGCCGGCGCCCGAGCGCATGTGCTGGGGGCGCGAGGGCGGCTTCTGGAGGTGAGCTTGCGGGATGGGGAAGGGCAGGCAGAGTGACCGTCCTTTTCTTTCTGGCATGAGGGGCAATGTTTCCCCAACCATGCTGTGGTGTGGGGTCCTCGTTTTGAAGAGACACCGCCCCGCGTTCCTCCTCCTCCTCCTCCTCCTCCTCCTCCTCCTCCTCCTCCTCCTCCTGCGCTCGTACCATCGGGTCAAGTTCATCAATCCTCAACAATGCCTGCGGCGGCGGCGGCGGCAGCACGAGCGTCCGCAGTGGGCCGCTCATGCCGCGAAGTACTGGAAGTGCTGCTGGTACCCGTCGTGCTGCTCTCTCGAAGGGCAGCCCGAGACAGCCTCCTCCTCCTCCTCCTCCTCCTCCTCCTCCTCCTCCTCCTCCTCCTCCTCCTCCTCCTCTCCTCCTCCTCCTCCTCCTCCCGTACCTCCCCCTCCTCCTCCTCCTCCTCCTCCTCCTCCTCCTCCGCCTCCTCCCCCTCATCTCGGCGCACCCCTCGCACGGTTCGTGGCCCCGTAGGCGGCTCCACCGAAGGCCCCAGTGGCAGGGCTCGCATGCAGTTCCACCCTCATCTCGGCGCACCCCTCACACGGTTCGTGGCCCCGCAGGGGGCTCCACCGAAGGCCCCAGCGGCAGGGCTCGCATGCAGTTCCACCCTCATCGCGGCGCACCCCTCATACGGTTCGTGGCAAGGAGCTCCATTGAAGGCCCCAGTGCCAGGGTTCGCATGCAGTTCCACCCTCATCTCGACGCACCCCTCATACGGTTCGTGGCCCCATAGGGAGCTCCGCAGAAGGCCCCAGCGGCAGGGCTCGCATGCAGTTCCACCCTCATCTCGGCGCACCCCTCACACGGTTCGTATCCCCGTAGGGGGCTCCACCGAAGGCCTCAGTGGCAGGGTTCGCATGCAGTTCCACCCTCATCTCGGCGCATCCCTCACACGGTTCGTGGCCCCGTAGGGGGCTCCACCGAAGGCCTCAATGGCAGGGCTCGCATGCAGTTCCACCCTCATCTCGGCGCACCCGTCACACGGTTCGTGGCCCCGTAGGGGGCTCCACCGAAGGCCTCAGCGGCAGGGCTCGCATGCAGTTCCACCCTCATCTCGGCGCACCCCTCACACGGTTCGTGGCCCCGCAGGGGGCTCCACCGAAGGCCTCAGTGGCAGGGCTCGCAGTGGCGCAGGTTCACGAAGGCCTCAGCGGCAGGGCTCGCATGCAGTTCCAAACCTCATCTCGGCGCACCCCTCACACGGTTCGTGGCCCCATAAGGGGGCTCCACCGAAGGCCTCACTGGCAGGGCTCGCATGCAGTTCCACCCTCATCTCGGCGCACCCCTCACACGGTTCGTGGCCCCGTAGGGGGCTCCATTGAAGGCCTCAGCGGCAGGGCTCGCATGCAATTCCACCCTCATCTCGGCGCACCCCTCATACGGTTCGTGGCCCCGTAGGGGGCTCCACCGAAGGCCTCAGCGGCAGGGCTCGCATGCAGTTCCACCATCATCTCGGCGCACCCCTCACACACGGTTCGTGGCCCCGTAGGGGGCTCCACCGAAGGCCTCAGTGGCAGGGCTCGCATGCAGTTCCACCCTCATCTCGGCGCACCCCTCACACGGTTCGTGGCCCCATAGGGGGCTCCATCGAAGGCCTCAATGGCAGGGCTCGCATTCAGTTCCACCCTCATCTCGGCGCACCCCTCACACGGTTCGTGGCCCCGTAAGGGGGCTCCACCGAAGGCCTCAGCGGCAAGGCTCGCATGCAGTTCCACCCTCATCTCGGCGCACCCATCACACGGTTCGTGGCCACGTAGGGGGCTCCACCGAAGGCCTCAGCGGCAGGGCTCGCATGCAGTTCCACCCTCATCTCGGCGCACCCATCACACGGTTCGTGGCCCCGTAGGGGGCTCCACCGAAGGCCTCAGTGGCAGGGCTCGCATGCAGTTCCAAACCTCATCTCGGCGCACCCCTCACACGGTTCGTGGCCCCGTAGGGGGCTCCACCGAAGGCCTCAGGTGGCAGGGGGCTCGCAGCATTCGCATGCAGTTCCACCCTCATCTCGGCGCACCCCTCACACGGTTCGTGGCCCCGTCGGGGGCTCCACCGAAGGCCTCAGTGGCAGGGCTCGCGTGCAGTTCCACCCTCATCTCGGCGCACCCCTCACACGGTTCGTGGCCCCGTAGGGGGCTCCATCGAAGGCCTCAGTGGCAGGGCTCGCATGCAGTTACACCCTCATCTCGGCGCACCCCTCACACGGTTCGTGGCCCCGTAGGGGGCTCCACCGAAGGCCTCAGCGGCAGGGCTCGCATGCAGTTCCACCCTCATCTCGGCGCACCCCTCACACGGTTCGTGGCCCCGTAGGGGGCTCCACCGAAGGCCTCAGCGGCAGGGCGCGCATGCAGTTCCAAACCTCATCGCGGCGCACCCCTCACACGGTTCGTGGCCCCGTAGGGGGCTCCACCGAAGGCCTCAGCGGCAGGCCTCGCATGCAGTTCCACCCTCATCTCGGCGCACCCCTCACGCGGTTCGTGGCCCCGTAGGGGCGCTCCACCGAAGGCCTCAGTGGCAGGGCTCGCATGCAGTTCCACCCTCATCTCGGCGCACCCCTCACACGGTTCGTGGCCCCGTAGGGGGCTCCACCGAAG